TTCACCGTTATCATTTTTCGTCAGCAATGAAGCGAATGACCGTGATCGCGGGTTACATGCTGCCGGGAACGAGTGACACAAAGCATCTGGTGGCTGTGAAGGGAGCACCAGAAACGCTGAAGAATATGGTGATTAATGTTATTCATTTGACAGTCAGATTGATAACCGCAAACTGCCATTAATTGTTATTAATTAATGGTGCACTGCAGTACGGATCTGTACCAGACGATTATGACAAAACCTATCAGAAGTTGACACGTCAAGGTGCTCGTGTGTTAGCGTTGGCAATTAAAGAAGTGGGGACGTTGAGCTATCAAGAGGTGGTTTGATTTTATCTTTTTTTTGGTATTATTGGAAAGGTGATAAGTTAAATTTTCGGGAAGAATCTGTTGTGTTCGTTTAATTTCAGAAAAAAATATAGTGGTTAGTGATCGGAAAATTGATCAGATCGATTGATTGCTGAAAATATTTTTTGGGATTCTTAGATCGTTACTCGTAGGAGCATAATTTGATGAAGTTGGCACATATGTGACTGGGTTTCTTTTGTCAAATTTGTGTTCGGAATGAGTTTAGTTGAATGGTGTGTTGAATAACGCTTTTTCATAACAGATTCGAGATAGGAAACGTGAAGAGTTTGAATGCGATCTGAAATTCGTTGGTTTCGTTGTGATCTCATGTCCGCTGAAAGCAGATACGAAAATGATCGTAAAAGAGATAATTGAATCATCTCATCGAGTCGTTATGATCACTGGCGATAACCCGTTAACTGCATGCCATGTTGCGAAAGTACTTCGCTTCACGAACAAGTCCAAACCAGTTTTGGTTCTGGATGAACCGGATCAGGGTTACTTATTCATCATCAATTGCTTTTTTGTGGGGTGAATTTGGAATATTCGTGGTATTGAGTCCAGTTTACTAACTGAATTAACTGCAGTTATTCAATTGCTAGATTCAATTACACTAACATATATTTCGGACTTTGTTGATGATTTGCTTTTTAATAAAACATTTTCTTAAAAAATTGTTCGGATGAATGTACCTATGTATGATCTGAGTGAAAGAAGACTGGCGTCTCGAAGGAAAATGTTTGTAGATGGTGAATCGAATTGGTCATGGAAATCAGTGAGCGGCAACGTGACAGCTGAGTTGATACCCGTCACGAAATCAGCATTGACTGATTTTATTGCCTCATATGAGTTTTGTATGACTGGAACGGCTTTCGCGTATCTCCTTCAGAATCATCTGCAATTCCTTCGCAAAATCCTTCCGCACATCACTGTGTTCGCAAGAATGGCACCAAAACAAAAAGAACGCATCATAAATGAGTTGAAATCACTTGGCTACATAACGTTGATGTGTGGTGATGGCACGAATGATGTGGGGGCACTGAAGCATGCCGATGTTGGTGTCGCTCTCTTGTCACATCCGTTCGACGCCAGCAAAGTCGAAGAGAGCCTCAAAAAGAAAGAAGAAGATGCTAAGGCATTGGTTGCTGCCGGCGCACCGAACGCTCAAACAGACCACTTATCATCGCATGCTCATTCGGCACCACCCGCTGCGGCAGGCATCGCAAATGGCCCACCGAGACGATTACATTCGGCTCGACGCAATGATGCCCCTGTAGGTGCCCGGCAACTGCGACACTCGGCAAATTCGGCGCAGAGTCCGTTCGCGAAACGTTTGCACAAAATGCTGAAAGAGATGGAAGAAGAGACGCAGCTGGTGAAGCTTGGCGATGCCTCTTTCGCAGCACCGTTCACTTCGAAATATACGTCGATTCAGTCGAGTAAGTTGATCCGAGCTGATCAGTGCTCAGTGTTTTTATCTGATGCGTCTAAATTGAATTTATTTATAAACTGCCGAAATATTTTTAAGTTCATTATAAAGTATTGTGAAGCGGAACGAAGCATTATTTTTGAAACATAGGTGAATAGAGCTGAATTATTGACTTAACATCAATAATTAAAGAAGCGTTCTCCTGAATAATCGTCATATGCGCACTACAGTTAAGGAAACGCTGAAAGATCTTA